CGTGCTAGGGCCTCTAAACATGACAAATGTCTCTAAAGATGATGTCTGTTTCCAATTGAAAAGCAGAGTTGCGACAACATTGTCTAGGGGGACAATGGGGTCTAGGAGTATGTATAGAACATACCGTACGCTGAGAAAAAAATATAATTCTGCCGATCAAATTTGTTTTCAACAAATGCCCGTTATTTCCATACACAATTTCACTATAACTTGATGTCAGAATGCACTGCTAAAAATTTTCGTCTGAATTTTCCGTGCCAAATTTCGGACACTTTTATCAAGTTCAAATTCCACTGAAATTTTAGGAAATTTTGTCATTGAAAAATCAAATATTCCATTAATTTTCTCTTCAAATAATCTGGAAATCAATAAAATACTTGATTTTTCAGTGCAATTATTCTGTAAAAATTCAGAAAAATCAGGAAAATTCAATCAAGTTGTGAAATTTCCGTCTCATTCTCACTGAAAACTCATGAATTTCCGTGAACCCTGCTTAAAACTTCAAATTTCGTAACCATTTCTTCCCTAAAGTGATTCAATATCACTCTCATGAGATTTACGATAATATCTTCCATGAAATTTCAAAAAATTTCCAACAGTGTGATGTTAAATAAATTACACATCTTATGTTAAAGGCCACTTATGATTCTTCTTCGAAAATAAATACTACATCCCAAACAACTTTACGATCCTCGCTTCATTTTTTGACTTTCGAATTTACATAAAGGAGCAGCATGAGCGCGTTCCACTACTGGAAATTGCTATACTCATTGTACTTCCCCTTCATGAGTGAAACTTGCGATCCCCCTTACCATAGTTTGTTGACCCTACAAGGCAGGTATGAGTTCAGCAAATGAACAAAGAAATGGCCACCGCGTGGAGCGGCAACAGGAAACACGTCAAAATCCGAAAAAGCCTAATGATATAATGAAGTGGGAAAATGAATAAATAAATATTAGTGGAAAAAAGGAGAATTCCGGGGAGAAATTAATTCCCACGGGTGAGTGCATCAGTTAAAATTCGTTTGTATCGTCGGTAACTTTAACCGGTGCCAGATACTCGTCTGGTATTTCAAGCATTGTTGGGACGACGCGATGTGTCCACGAGGTGGTTGCAACAATTCAACGACCTTGTCTACCCACGCGTGTCTCTTTCCTCGTGTGCGCCAGTGGCTTCGGGTGTCACGCGGGCTTCGCGTGACGCCAGGGGGGACCCCGGAAAGTGGTATTAAGAGAAGCATGTGCACAATTGGAAAAGTAAGACACTTATGCCCCCAATAATTGGCGTAATTAGAATGCGATATAAAAATACCGCGACTACGTACTTTTGATGTAGGCATGTCAGCTCAACGCCACTTATTCAATTATTAAAACACTTGATCGAACTTTTTTTTTAATACACTCAATTCGGATTTAAATCCTGAGGGATGAAGATTTTCCGGGAGCACAGTACTTCGAGGATTTGCGGCTGATATGATATTCGCAGATCAATTCTGGTGTCACAAGTGGACTCGTGTCTAATACGCGCAGCACACAAACGCGAGACACTGCACCAGTGAGACTAAATGAATTTGAGCGACGGCCCTGCCGGCGAGATAAAGAAAA